CTAGGAACACACTTTGAATACTAGTGAAGCAACTTTAAGTACTACAGAAACAATTTGAATATTAGTAAAGCAACTCTGAGTACTAGTGGAGTACTTGACATAAATGCTGCACTACAAAAACTAACCTCAAGTTGTTTGTTGGCCTCCTCAACCTCCTGCCGGGCCTTGAGGGACAGGAGCTGGATCTCTCGCTCATGGTCCCGCTGTCGGGCCTGCAGGACCCGGGCAAGCGACACACTCTCCTGCTGAGCCAAAGAGATGTGGCGGGTGCGCTCCAGGTCCGACAGCTGCCGTACCGACTCCTCCAGGCTCTCCAGCAGGTTCAGCTCCGAGGCCAGCTTCAGGCTCAGGGCAGCTGGCGAGTACTGGGCGGGCTGAGGGGGCCTGCCCGCGGCTGAAGGGTGGAGCTGGTGGAATTGAAAACAATGGTACAAAGTTGATGGCATAGAACATACTGATCTCAGAGTGTTCCAGTTGAGTCCACTACAGGACATTTCACAAGTTCAGTCACAGGGTCATTTCACATGTTCAGTCACAGGGTCATTTTACAAGTTCAGTTACAGAGTCATTTTACAAGTTCAGTCACAGGGTCATTTCACAAATTCAGTCACAGGGTCATTTCACAAATTCAGTCACAGGGTCAGTTCACAAATTCAGTCACAGGGTCATTTCACAAGTCAGTTCTAGTCACCTCAAACTGTAATATTTCACTTGTTCGAAAGAGGCCAGAATGAAGGTTTTTCATTGTACGCAGAAGCAAACCTTGTTGCAAAATGGAACAGGGCAGAACATACTCAGGTTTTATGGAATTTCTTTTTTTAATTTCATGTAAATGGAATTTAAATAAAGGGATTAGATACCAGATCCCACCAAATACTGAATTTTAGGATGAGCGTTGTAAGAATCAGTTAAGGTTTCCTCAACCTACCCTTGCGCTCTGTGGTAAAAGCCTCTCTGATCCTTTGTCACTGCCCGGTTCCATGGAGGGGACACAGTTGACCGGTTTAAACAGGTTCTCCGTGCCCTTGGCTGACGAGGAAGCAGTGGAGATTGATGAGCGTGTCCTTGTATCCGTGGAATATGATGACAAGCTCGGCTTGGATTGACCGCTCCCGGATGGGCTCTTACTGCCGGACAACGGAGACCGCCTCTGCCCCGGCTGGTGTTCCATCGTTGCAGGGGACCGGGGAAGGGACCCCGAGGACAGTGTGCTGTCGGGGCTGGACGGAGATTTGGAACCCAGGGATGCGTTGGGGGTGAGGTGGGAAGGGGAGGTACGCCTGTCGGTGGATGGGCGGTGGGTGGACAGCAACACCTTTGGGCTCGGAGTACGAGGGATGCCCTTGTGGAGGGCAACATCATCACCAGAGCTGTGGAGCCAATTCATCGAGTCCAAACAAAATAAGGTATATTTGCTTGGCCGGTCTTAAAACTTTCATCTAAGATGGGTCAGGATGATGGACATGGTAATGTCCCAAGACACAGGAGAAGGATGGCAAATACAGAAAGTTATCAGTTAAGTTGAATCCCTTGAATTTTATTCCAAATGGATGCTTGTTAACAAACGAGGATAATAAAGTAAGACACAATCCTGCGTCAAACAATTCTTGATTTTATTCAAACAACTCTGACCTTCCAAAGCTTTCCACGGGAGACAAGTCCAACGTGTTGTCGTCGGCCTTTCTGCTCGGAGTCTGCTCAGTGACCCCTGACCTTGATGACCTCTTGCGGTTGCTGGCAGTCCCGTAGCTGGATTTGCTACATGAGGTGGTGGACTTCGACTGAGGTTTGTGGGTCAAAAAACAAAACAAAAAGAGAGGACAGTTATCCAAAGATGAACTTTTAGTTTAATACTGAAACTGATTGGCACAGATTGGCTGAGTCACTGACCTTTGACTTGCTCTTGGTCTTACTGCTGCTGTCGGCAGTGAAGTCGGCCGAGTAAGGGTCATCATCCTCCGGTTTCGACCTGGAGGATTTTGAGGAGGTGGTTGGGCTGCCGGTAAAGTCATCGTTGCAGGAGTAACCAATTATGGAGTCCTTGGGTTTTGCAGAATCTGTTGGGAGTTGGCCGTACAGGACCACTGAAAAGGAAATCAGGTAGAGAAAGATTTGAATAATGCGGTGTTAATACTCAGTCTTGAGTAATAATAAGCACTGCATACTTGGTTGGATTGAATAAAAGCTGGACTGCTGCGTAACAGCGTGTAGAAGCGATGCGTCCGCGCGTAACTTAATAAACAATGAAATTCTTTGTTCGTATTTCTGAATCATTCTGTCTTATCTGTGTAACAGTACAAGTCCGGGAAAAGAAAACCTTCAGGTAAATAGAACAATTTAAAGGAATAATTTCATTTAAGATTGGAATTACACAGATTAAATTGTGCGATACGATTGCATTAGTGATTGCTAATGTAGAAATACATGTAGATTTGCTTGCAATTTACTAGATAATCTCTCATATAGAATATATTCCTGGTTTGTACATTCGATACGGATTAGACTTCATTTTCTCACATCAATGGTTTGAATTTCACTCTGCCTTCTGTTTGTTTTATTCATGATCAGCCCACTAATTCCAGTTCAGCTTCATTCTTATCACAGTAATATCTGGTTTAGCGACTAGTTCAGTTGTATTGGATGCAGTTGATATATTCCAGTAGAGTACAAATTTATGTTAATCTTTGTCACTGGGGAAAGTGAATAGTTTGAAACTTATCAATTTGAGTTAGCTTCCTAATCAAGCCCCCTTTTTGTTTCTGTGTTTCCAGATATGTTGTCGTCGTTCCTGGACGCCCAATAAAAAATATACAGAAGCAACCATTAGAAGATCCATTCCGGAGATGGTGGTCGCTATGCGAAAGCTTGCCCCGAATCACGAGGTATAGCAACAGTGTCTTCAGTCTGGGGAATGCAAACTGTTACGTTTCAGTGCAATCAGATAACACAGTGCACCAGATTTTATTCAAATTTAACTCGCAAGTGGCTTATTGTAATGCCGTGTACCACAAGGCTCAGATGAAGTTTTATTTACAGTCATCTCACCTCGATTTGCATTCTGGTACTTCCTGGTGTAGATGTTGATGACGCTGAGTCCGTCCGCTAGACTCTCCTTCCACCTGTCTGCCCCCTGTACTGGCAAGCTGATTGGCCGACTGGCAGGTGACGTAGGCAAGCCCACCGCTGTGAGCGGACTGTCACTGCTGGTACCCGGCGGGGGCTGGTGACCGTGCGTAGTGGGCAGGCTCTTGAAGATGGGCATGTAGTCCTTGTCCTCAGCTGCAGTGTCTGTCAGCGAGCCCTCACTGAGGGACCCCTCGCTCAGGGAAGCCGAAACATAGACACCCCTATTGTTGAGTGGACTGCTCTGATCAGCCCTTGACACATGAACCTTGCACAAAAATGTCAATAGATATGATTTTTCAATCCATTTGTTTTTATCACAGAATCCCGTATCGGGCCCAGTGTCATGGTCATAGATTCCATAATGCTAGATTCAGCAATTACAGCCTATAATCTTGCACTGAGATAGAAAGGACAGTCCTGTAAGCGCACATACAAAACAGGATCTTTACAAGTACTTAAGTCGAAATTCCTTGCTTAAACCATAAAATAAGCTGTCAGTGCAGAAATTTCTGTTGTTATTCACAATTTTTCACTAATTTTACACCGCAAAGAAAACTGGGTCAAGGACACACACACAAAATTCAAACAAAAATAACCTAAGCAGCTTTTGACGATTACCTCAGGTACAGTGTTTGGAGATTGCCTCTGGACAGCATTGCCGAGTGATGGTCGGCTCCAGTCCAGCTTCTGCCTGACGCTGTGCCCACGGTAGGCGGCCTGGATCCTGGTGGCTGCGTGCTCCTGGTTAGAGGCGTCTTGGGCCAGCCGGGCCTGGGCCGACAGGATCCCTGTACCTTGGTGGACAGGACATCGAACACAGCACGGTTAGAGGGAGAGTGGGCCCAAATCATCCCACTGGTGTGAAACAATGCAGCTGCGGCTCTCAACAGCACACATCTATGGCAAGTGGCTATAGCCACTAACCAGGGGCTTTCATAGTACATATTGTTGTGAAATTACATGACATGTACTGTTTATCAATTATTAGTTAACGATTATTGATTATCTCCGGTATTACTTCATAGTGCGCCCGGCGATGATCAGCACATTCACCCTGTGCTTTCACCACAACTGGAAACTGCATAGACATTGCACATTTTGAATCACCGCTGCGTGTGCGCCATCAGAACCTCATGTAAACAGCACGCACTTGCTAGCTTGGTCGCGCTAGCGCCCTCTTGCAATGGAGCGTGAGAAATTGTCTTCACTAGGCTGTACCCTGTTTCATTTCTTGTTATGTAATTATCTGTAAATGTTATGATCGAATGTTTTGTTCTCTATTCTTCGTAAAAACAAGCCCAACTAGAATAAATAGCTACTCTAGATTGCAAGTTGATTCCAAGTGTTCTGACCTTGGACCATTCGGATCTATGCTTGGAATTAAACCAGTTGTGAAGTATAGATCTGTGTGATTGCCCCTTTGTTTCTCTGTTCCGACAGCGAACCTGCGACAATATGTTATTCATAGCCATAGCCAACTAATTCTGACACAGCCTGACAAGGCTGGCCACAAAGTAAGAAGCCTGACAACTGACTGCTTGAACTAAGGACCAATGGTATTCTTGCACTGATTCTAAATATAATATACACGAGGTGCTGATACGTATGCATTATCTACGAAGCACTTTTGCCAAACGACAGAGATGGATGACTTTGTTTAGATCGTCGCACCTCAGGTGGTCTTGGACAACCCTATTTGATACCACAAAAGGGTTATTCAAAATGGACACAGTCGCTAGCACAGTGAGCAGAGAATACGACAAAATGTGCATTATCATCCTCTATGGGCCTCGAGCTGGACCAAGAGAGGGTGATATTTTCTTAGCAATGGAGGTTCCTTTGGTCAGAACTGAACTTTGCTGGTTCATGAAGAATTAGGAAACGCATGTGACAAGGCTGCATCGCTACCAACAAAATGAACACTCCCCACCAACATGGCTCTTTGCAACCAATGAGGGGGTGCTTCTGCTTGAGGCAGATACAGAAAGAGGGTACATTCATCAGTTGTTTGAAACTGCTCTTATGATTCAGGAAGAGAGAACTTTGTAAAACCGGTCCTTACCAGGCAGAGAACCAGTGAAGACCTTGTGGTCCCTGTCACTTCCTACCATGCGTTGGTACCGCGTCGGCGCTTCAGGACTGTCAGCCTCCCCTACCGGCAATGCAACGGCGCTCCCGCCAAAATGCACAGAGCGGATCGGGGTGGCCATTCTTGAACCAGAGGGATAGGCCCACCTGTCGTTGACGTCCACTGGGGAGGTAACAGCCTGGGGCTGAAAGTCTCCGGTTAGCTTCTTGACTTCACTATCTATTTTACCCTGCAATGCAGCCGCTGTAGCCTTGAGGGCCTGAATCCTGTCTGCTTTACTGCGGGCAGCCCTTGAGATTCCAGTGGAGGGAGGAGCTGCAGAAAACAGAAGAGCTGCATTGCTCACAAGATCTTTAAGGACAAAGAGAGCATTATTTAGAACTCAAACGAGAATTTGAGACATTGTTAACATATTTTGGCTCATCTTCATAGATGAGTATTGAAATTTTAAAGAATTCAAATTCAAAAGAATTCAAAGAAACCTTGAAAAGTAGCAACAGGGCTTAGATGTTCTGAAGATCCTACCTTGTCCAATAATGGATGGCTGCATGACCTCTGCCCTTTGACCTGGGTCAACAGGTACTGCTGACCTCTGACCTCCATCAGGCACACCCCCTGTTATCTGTGTGACCACTACCCCAATGGGAGACCCTGGTCTAGGAGGTGGCTGAACCTCAGTCCTGCCGTTGCTGTCGGCAATCCCTCCCAGGGGGTCACTGTGGGTGGGTGGAGCCTGGTCCAAGGGGCTGTGGGGAGGGTCACTGGGCAGGCTGGACTGGGTGCTGCTGTCGCTGCTGGAAGTGCTCCAGATATTCTTGTTCTCCTTATCTGAGCTGGTCACATCGATCTTTATAAGACAGAAAGATTTTTACAAGCATCCAAATACAGAGAAAAATGTTGTCCAAGACCCTCGAAACCTAGAGTTGAAGTGGATAATTCTAAATAACAAGAATTCTATTAAAATACCATGCTCTGGTTAGCATCTCAAACTTACATGTACGTCAAGTATAATTACCTTTTCTAAAACCTGTATTTGTATAAAAGCAGAGCATCACTATTTGCACGGTTTGACAGCTATCAATAAAGGCTTACAATTCTTCAGCCCGATTTTGAATCAAAAATTACACAAAGAGACTATTAGATCCAGCGTTGGAAATGAAATAATGCTCAACTAAGAGAGTGATTTTGGTATTAAAGGAAGATTGACAGAAAGACAGTGAGACAGATGAAATACTGAGAGTTTTGGAAGACAATTTTGAGATTCATTACCTTCTTGCCATCTTGTCGGAAAGGAATGTGCCGAGGCAGCTGGTCCAAGCCATTGAGTTGACTTCCAATGACTTCTTCGGTGGGATCTTTGGAGAAGGTTTCTCCCAGCTGGCCGTTAGCGACACTACGATTCTTCTGGCTCAGGCGGACGCTGTCCTTCTGCTTCTTGCTCAGCTCTCGCAGCTGTTCCTGTTTTCGCTCCTGGGCCAAGTTGCGAGCTGCCTTTTCCTCCTGTAGCCTACGCCGGCGTTCTGCTTTCTGCTTGGCCATGTATCTGCGGACCTTGTCCGTGTCATAGTGTCGGACCCGCTCAGCGGGAAAGACCGGATCAGGGTTTGGTCTGGGGGGTCTGGCGGACTTCTTCTTGGGGATCTTTGGAGCCTTCTGGCCATCCTTCTGATCCCTGGAGACTGGTTTCTCATCCTCACTGGTGGAAGGGTCGAGATGGAGGTCTTCTAGCACATTCTTGGCTTCCGAGGGGAGCTTCTCTAGGTCGGGGGTGGGACTGGGTACTCGGTCGTTGTCCCCAACCTCCTTTCTTTCGAGAGGATGCTCAGACAGCTCAGCATCTGAGAAGTCATCTTTAGTTCTGTCTTCTACGGAGAGGGGTAAGTCCTGGTGCTTACTTGACGGTGGATCTTCTGTGTCATGAGTTGGGGGTGAATGGGGAGCAGGCTGCTTTGCTGCCATTTTTGGTTTCTCTGGAGGGGGTCCCAGAATCTTTAGAACTGTCTTCTGGCCCTCCCGCCATGCTGCTGCCGAGATGATGTCCTTGTTGCGATCGGGCCGCTTGGGCCTCTTATCCAAAATCTTGGGAGGCCCTTTGTGGACTTTCCGCACGGTTCGACTCGACTTGGAGGATTGCCCTGGTTTATTCTGCTGCTGGAGGGCCATGCTAGGCTTCAAAGCACGGTCTTCCAGAGATGCCACTTTCCCTGTTGTGCGGTTGGTTGACTTGTCACTGGTTTTCCGACTGGTTTTTCGTGTGAGCTGGTCTTCCGTGACAACCTTTCCATCCGGCATCTGGAAGCGAGTCTCCACTTCGCTGAAGCCCTTGTAAGCTGGTGCAGCGGGGGCTGTGGCGACCTTGCGCACCGTGCTCTTGCCTGCGGGGAGTGGATATCCTGCTAGGTGAGAGTCCCCCTCTGTGTCGGGGTCCTGCAGGATGACAGGATCCCCGTCCCGGTGTCGCGTCCTCTCCCCGGTCATCTGCTTGCAGTTGGCCACAGCCGCTTTCTGCTGCTCCACCTTCTCCCTGAGTCTTTCCATGTGGTCGGAAGCGCTTCCCCCCAGCGCCAGCTTCCGGCTCTCATGCGCTCTCAGTCGCGTAGCGTCTCGTTGCAGTGCATCCGATTCCTCTTCCTTGGTAAAAGTTTCCTGTCTCTCGGAAGACCTCTCTCCAAGCAGGGTTCCAAACAACCGCTCGTAAGCGGGGACATAATTCTCCTGATACCTCAGTTTCTGGTTCCTGCCCTGCTCCAATTGCTGTCTTGGGAGTAAATCGTTCAAGACGCGAATGGCTGTGCTATTGTCGACAGACATATTGGTCGAACCCCGGCTGAGTATCTCCTGGCTGGATGGAGACAGAGCATTTGATTTTGGGGATGTCCGGTGGTCATAACTTTCTGCACGAGGGGGCACACCCTCCCAGTCTTTATCCATCAAATGATGATCGTAGGAAGCCTGTGTGGGATGGGTTCTATCAAGGGTCGAAGACTTGAGTGTCCTGGAGAGAGATTTCAGCTGATGCTCCAACCTCTGTACCTGGGCACTGTCAACACTCCTGGTAGGGCTCAGGGAGTCCAGATTCCTGGCTTCGGCCAGTCTGTCTCTCTTGCTTCTTGGTGGGGACAGGTGGTGTGATGAGCCTTGGTCACCCTCAAGGTTGTCTGGCAAAGAAATAAACCACACTCAAAGTTCACAATGTGCATTTTAGAAGTAATTAAATGTTGGATTATGGGAAATACAGCCCGAGCACTGTCACTCTTACAGGCTCGGTGTCCATTCTTTGTTCAAACATGAAGAATGTGTTACGGGTTACTGTTTCAGGTTTGGCTGGATGGACAGAACATTCCTGACCTGTACCATGGTTTTTGGGGTTCGAAAAGCCATGCACAGAAATGGACGCCGGCACTATTTGGAATAATTCTTGATACCTTGAGAAAAGAAATGAGCAAATAGTTGGAAAACTTACCAACTATTGTAACTCTTTTCCTGACTTTATCTCTGCCATAGTTGAGATGGCTGTATCTATTTGAAGCCTAAAAGACAAAAGGAAAAACTGCAGATCACCAGTTGAGACATTTAAAAAATATTTTGAATGCACCATACTGGGTATAAAATAAAAAAATACATCTTTTTCCTAGGAAATTTTTCATTAGGAAAGAGATCGTATATTTCTAATTAGGACTTAATGACTCTGTCATCAGGGTGGACTACCTACAGCAAGTGTATATGTGCACAAGGAGGTAATCCAACATGTGTGTTATGTCGTAACAAACATCCTACTTTTTTTCACGAACAACTAGTCCTTTTTCTCCGGCAGCACGACTTTCATAACCAGCAGTCTCACCTGATGCTTGTGGCTGCCTATCTCTACTGACGGGACTCTCTCGACTGGTACCTGGACCCTTGCCAGGTTTTCCATGCCCGTCAAGTAATGCCTATAGCTGGGGCTCAGCTTGCCCCGGGGGTCCTGGCTACCGGGGCTGTGGGCGGCGTTGGAGTAAAACTCTGCCTCCTCTAGCCTAGCCTCGGTCCTACGGAGCTATATAAGGAAATATCAGGTCTCTTGATAAATGCAGAAATAATATTTTATGACTCTCCATTTCCATAATTAAGTGAACTGTCACAGGTGAAATGACTATACCAAACATACACCCATCTTGGACATTTGTTTCAATTCCTGGGATAATTTTCCAGGACACACCTTGGAATTTTGAGAATTTCCCAGGTACGGTTTGAAATTGAAAGCTTTCATCAGTTTTTTCACAGTATTACAGAAATCTGAATCGACAAAAATGGAGCTTGTCTCACTTTCCCTTTAAACTTTATACAGTAGTATAAGAACATTGGGAAATTCAAAAATTAGAGCAAAGATGTAGTAGATATGTCCTGTCATATCAATACTTTAACGTTTTCTTTTAAATTTAAAAATGCAAAAATGTGTCACATTAGGCATTATGACATATCACCTCAGAGTTAAAGAGTAAACAGCCCTGAATTATGCAATAACCAATAATGAATTAATAACTAGCCTTCATAAAGAGATAAATTCTAAATACACAGAATAATTCAAGGGACTACATTTCACACTTACCACACTTTTTGCTTCAGCGTGATTATTCCATGCTGTCGTCAAATCTAAATATTGGCACGAAAAATGAGGAACCTCGTCATTTTTCTCTCTTGGGCAAAATTTGGATATCATTTTGACGAGACTCCAGAACTAAACCCAGTGTAAACGTACACATTCTTTACATTTCTGGTTTTAGGCTCTTCTTTGTTTTTTTTGCAGAATGGTTACAAAGTATCCTTTTTTCCCTTGAGTAGGTAACAGTCTGCAAAAATGCTAGACGTTAACTCGTAAAATTTTATTGTGCAAACACACTTGAGCGTGTGTTGAATGCAACACAAGAAATGTGCTGGTATCTAATTCAGGCATACTGGACGAGGATATATATATGGGATGTGTATATTCAACACCTGTTAGGTTGAGTTACTTGGGTTAAGGATGAAAAACTGCTGAGTCACAGAAATTAAGTTTGAAAACCGTGAACGGTGTTGTATAAACAGATTCAATTGAGCTCCCTTTCACTTGTCTTGCCAGAAAATCTTTTCAGGTGTGTCATCTATCATGCGGAAAAAGCACCATGCAAACTGTCAGCTTTGTTCAGAAATTTTGGAATCTGCCAAACGGCACTTGTTTTCCCAACAAAACCGAGACGTTACAGCTCCCAAGTAAAGTTTTAACAAACACCATGTGACCAAGGAGCTAAATTTCATCTGAATACTGCACAACAGCTTTGAATCAACTGGCACCTGCCCTAAATCCTCAGTGAATCAAGAGAACCACAGATTTAAATGGGCTGGGTGTTTGGGGGCCAATACTGTGACTACTGGACCAATTACACGACAGAACACCAAGTCTTGACAACTTCCATACAGTACCAAGAAATCTCAGTGGCAAGAGGTTACGGATGCTTTGTCGTTGATAGCGAAAAAGCCACTGCTGAGGCAGGCTTATTCAGTGCCAACACAAAAATGCCCGTCGGCTACTTTTCGAAATTTTCCAGCAGGAACCCAGCTACTCCATTTCAACCGTCAGTGCTGAAGAGCCCTCCCCCCCACAACCAAGACTCTTCAAGCCCACTCACCATCGTATTTGGGGAAGGGTGCTGGCCCCCGCTGAACAGGCGTAGGGTCGGCTACTCGACGCACTCTGATGCTTCCAGACATGACGGTGTGCGCATATTAATGCTGACAGCTACTTGCAGATTCCATTGGCTGCACCTGTTACTGCGAGATACAAATGCAAACAACCAAGTTACTGACGGTCCCTGGATGTCATGTATTAGAAAATACATGTAAATGTGCAATAAAAGAGGTGTTGGTTTAAAACAACCATTTTCAAAGGGTTCCTGTGTGTAGAACATGGCAAAATCAGCAATAAGGTGGGACTGGCTAAAACATTAGTCAAGCCAATATTTTCAGAAGAGCTGACTGAAACCAGATGTGCTTAATAGAAGGCCACAGGCATTGAGCTTAAAAAAACAGAAAAAACTGGATGTGCTGTTGCATTGTTAGATCACATCGTATGTTTTTTGTGTGTATTGTGTCACAATAACTCCTCTGCCTGATTTTGAACTTTTGACATTGTATTTCAGTGGCAACTTGGACAGGATCTCACGCAATAACATAACCAATATAAATTAACACAAACAACTGTACAGGTGCTTTGAACGTCAAAGTGCCGGCAATATTTTACTGTTTTTTTCCATTGTTGATTTTTCTCCCAAGCAACACTGCCGATACAATGATAAAAACCATCCACAAATTGTACATAATTCCCAAATACTGCAGACTTTAAGTACAAATCAAATGGTTTAGAAAAATAGTTTTACCACCTACTACTTTAAACGGATGGTTTGTTTCGATTCTAATGTAAACTGATAAAATAATCAGCAAATAATCCCTCAAAAATAAGCTACAAATAATAGTCCTGAATCCTCCAATTTTAATATGATTTTGCACACACCCTAGGGAGTTAGGGTTAATACCTGCGTCATCGGCAATGAGAAATGTTTGGAAACCATCCATTAACATGACACACCGCTGGAAAAAAAAATCACCTACATGTACATAAATTTCAGTGATGTCATGATATTTTGATGACCCAGAAATATTTACGATTTCAATTTGTTTTCCTTTTGACTACTGCATCTTCACAATTTTTTGAACATCACAATGGCAGGCACTATTTGGACCAATGTGTATGTTCATAAACTCTGAACGCTGTACAGCAGTACACTACATGAACGTGGCCGTACACTACTTGTCCATGTTCTTGTACACTTATTATTTATTACAAGCATGAAACCTGAAACAAAAACGGAAAGCAAAACAACTTTCAAAGAAAAATATTCCCCATGTCAGTTGCTTGGTTCAATTTCGTGGGAATTCTGAGTAAAGACACAACGCCCAAAGCCATGTTTACTTACGTGCGAGGAAAGTTTACTATTTCGAACCCAAGATTTTTCCTAAAGGAAGTGCATATGTGTGTATTTGCAAATACATGTTTCGTATGTGGTTTTTCAACATGGTGCAATTTCAACGGAATCAAGACAAACAAAAGTGTTGCTTGTTGTAAGCCTGCCAATCAGGAAGTGAAATGCTCTGTATTTATTTCTGTCTTTTAATCAAAGAATTTTCTGCTGACTTCATGAATGATACAAAAATTCCGTCTACTCTGATGCACAGTACATACATTGTGCATATCACAGTTGAACATTTCCTGGCATAAAACAACCACCAAGGAAGTCCCTTTTTAATGACAAATTGCAACAAAAACATAAAGTTAGCAAGGGAGAAACAAAGTTTTGTTTGTTGGGTGCCAAGTCACGGCAGCCCTGCAGGATGTGATGTCGCACCAGAGTGACAGGCATCCGGAAGATCGTGCATTTCCTGGCTCCACTGGTGAAACAATTGGGGGGGATGTCCAATGTGTGATGTGGGAGAAAGCACTGCTGGTCGGTCCCAGTGAATGGAAACCTTGTGCAGTACATTTCTGTTTTCCCCGTAGGCCTACGTGACACATTTGTGTACTGTGTGACTCAGGACCGATTTGTCTGAGTTTGGTCTGTTTGGGGAAGGAAAGAGTTTCCCACGGACTGCACACTAGGTTTTGAGGGAGGGGGAAGAGTCTATTCACGATGCCTAACATAATGTATTTGCAGATGTAATGCATTAATCAACACCAAATTTCAGTGACTTTGTAGAAAGTTTCAGTTTACCTAAAGTATACCAATTTGGTTGTTTTGGGTTTTTTTGTATTTTGTCTCTCAGAGAACAAAAGTTTAAGGTCTTGTTTGATTCATGCAGATCTGGATTGCGATCAGTGATCTGACATTGGTTCACTGACACAAGAACCTGCGTAGTAGATTGAGCAAATCAGCGTTGGGATCATTGATCGAGATCTACCAGACTCGTGTGAAACAAACAGGCCCTAAGTGATTTGAGAACAAGAATGTTATTCTGGAAAGTACTAGTAAGGGACTGGTGTTGACAAAAGTTGTTAATGGCCCTTAAGGCAAAAAAAAGGTGCCATTTGCTGATATCATTATCCCACTAAAAAGACAAGCGTCTCACCAGTCATTACCCTCATCACTTTAGATAGCCCTGAATATGCCGAACCTCCAATCCCCTGTACAATTTTGTGGTCAAGTATTCTAATTACGTGTACTTCGAACAGGAACTATTAAATGCACTTGGTAACTCACAAATGGCAAGATGCATTAGTGAAGAAAAAAATTTTTTGCACAGTAAAGGGGCATGATCGTCAGTCTTGAGCTGCATGTAGTCCATTTATTACACGTTGCTGGTTTACACTGAATGTATCGTGGTAGTTTCCTGATTTGAAGTGTGGGCAAGTCTTCTCCTTTAACAATTTCCCCGGTGCCCGATTCAATTTCTGTTCTCACTAACGCAAGCCGGGGCTTAACGGCGTTTGCGGGACCCTGAGCTAACTGTCAATCTCCACAACTTTAGACAGGGTTAACACGGTGGAGACGGCTGCCTGGGTGGTGAGTCATGCACGGGCCTTGGGCAGATCTACTCTCCGCCTTTAATACGACCCACCGCAGACTGTCGTTTCTCCATCCACGCCCATCATTCCGCAGGCAGCTGTCACTGAAACACTCTCGGCTTGCTACGACCACGCAATCGTCAAACACATTGATCTGTTCATGTTGTAATTAATCACTTGGGGGCAATTGATAGGATAAGCCCCATTACACCAGTAGGACATCCAGGCTCAAGTTATGCATGACTTTCGAGGTAGATACATGAAATGCCAATGCAATTAAAATGCAGCTTAATCTAATTACAAACTACACTCCTGCATTAACTGCTCACTCCGCCAGATCCTTTAAAATCCACAGGGGGGGTTTTCAGGATTTTGTAGGATTGGGGAAGCTAGAGTACACTGCCAATACTGTGTGGGAATTCAGACTCTGTCTTTCATCTGTCTGGAACATTTTTGTCAGAACTCTTCCTGATTTCTCAAAATGATATGAACCATGTATCTACTGTACATATACATGTACATTTACTGTGCAGATTTTGTGAACGCTAAAACAAAATGGACAGCAGGGGCAGGATACATTACATGTACATGTACATGTGCTGCAATGCTTTATTAGTCAAGGGCTGTCAGAGCACTGTTTGGACACTCCCCACCCAGGCAATTTTGGACACCTTGCTTTGTTTACACAAATTCCCACGGAGGGAGAAACTGGGATGCTCTGTCTCTCACTTTAAGGTGCCAGTGACAGTAGCTGTCTTTATTTTCCAATGCTGGCTAAAAACAAGATGTGCTGCACATATATACAAACTATGTACACAAGTGCAAGGCGTTCAGCGCCGACAGCAATCCACGGAACTAGCTGTGTGAGCTGGTTCCTGCAGACTTATCAGCGTTTTGAGCTGCATGTACATATGTCATGCATGTGTTGCTGTTGGGCAACTGTCCGGCTTGGTTCACAGCTGCATGTCCGGCAGGCGCGAACACACAACTGGAACTGAAGCACGGGATCAGCTACCCTGGGAAAAAGTACAGTCATCATGATATAAATAGAGAGCGATACTCTGATGTAAAAAAAAAAATGAAATAATTAGAAAGGCATTTGTTTAGGACCACTGTATTGTTAGATCCCCTGACAAGGTGTACTCATGTCCCATGCAACGTGCCAAGTTCTGTGATTCAGAGAAATAACTTATTTCTACAATTTGGACAAAATACTAGGAAATATCATTTTCACTTTGGAAGAAATTCCAATTACTGATTTCATTTTGGGACAGCTCTGCAATGAGCATTAGCTGGTTGCAACAGAGAATGACAGGAAAGATAGTACAGTACACGCATATTGAAAGCACAAAGCACGTATTTTACTAATGAATGTTGCAGTAAATGCACACGACACCTCGCTTTGTGGTGTAACCGAAAGACCAAATGTAAACTGACGCTTCTTCGGGGAAATGGCCGATCAACTTTTCTTTTGACCAGATGCTCACGGCAGGATCTACGCCTCGATAATCAAGTTGGTTCCTGCTGCATGCATACACCATCCTCTGCTATGCCGTTTCTCTTCCAAACACTTTCCTTTCAAATATGTATCCAAGAGCTCATGTAAAAAAAGCCATCAGTGATGGACAGCTCTTGCGATCACAAAAATTTTGAGCGGCGTCCTCTAGGATACAAACTTAGTTTACACTAAGAGTGGAAAAACAGCACGATAGCCTTCAGAGACCTGAGCAATTTCTGAAAGATTTAGATAGTGCTGAGTTTTCATATTCAGAGCTAATCAGTGGCCTCTAATAGGTATGACATCACAGACTGATTTGAATGGTTGAGCGCTTGCTTGTTATGCCTCTGATCGTCCCCTTGGGGTGGGGTGTTACTATAGACAGGCATACAATTCGGACTTCGACAAAAAAAATGAGGAAATTCTTTGCAAGACTTTGTACAGTGTTTGTCAATTTTCAATGACAACAGTGTGAAGTGAAAAACGAGGTAATCGGCTGATCCAAGGAAAAGTTGCATGCACGTGTAGAGCACTTTGTGCTTTTAAGCATGAATGTGAAACATCGCAATGTCTGCACTATACTCGGTTATCGTTCAACTGTGTAAATAGGCCAGAAAGCAAAACAAAACCAAAGTTGTGGAAAACATCATGCAATGACCAGTTTAAACATTCCCCTAATCTGTTAAACAGAACTCAGACATTAAGACAAACAATAAA